GGCTGCCTTTGGACGAGGGGTGTGTATTGTGGCTGTAGGTAAACCAGGTTGTGGTCTGACTTCCCTAGTGGGGGGAGGGGGGTGGCTCTGTATGATTAGAACCTAGAAATCACTTTAAGCATGTAAGTGCAATAGTAGCATGAAACCCTGTGTGAGGGGGAAGGGGAGGATTATGGACGGAGAGGTTAGAAGTCTCACGGTTTTCTTACCAAGTGCACAGGTAATTCTGGATAACTGCTTTTTTTTTTACTTTCATGCTTATTTAGGAAGGAGTTCATTGTTACATCTTCAGTTTGTAATAAATAAACAATCTTCAAATCATAAGGCAGCTGGAAGCATTTCTTTTGGAAACCAGGAACACACATCAGCCATAGACTCCTTTTTTGAACTTGGTTTATTGGAAATTACCCTACCAACACATTATGTTCGCCTTTTCTTCTCCAGTGTCTTTAGTGCTGTTAGTTTCAGCTGTGTGTCCACCTGTTGCCTTTTTCTCAGCAACCTGTTTGTGTATATGTAGTGTCTTAGGCTCCCTTTGTATTTTGTCATGTTTTGCTTCTTGTTGTGTCTTGCCATGAATTCCTTGTCATTTCCAGGTTTCCTAGTTACTTCCTTGTCTGAGTTTTTGTGTTTTGTTTAAGTGAGTTTCTAAGCATCAGCAATAAAGCTGCCTCCTTTAGTTCATCCCTTGTCTCAGAGTCTCGTATCTACTCTGTCTGACAAACATCTGTACCTCAAAAAAACTCGCAAACTCTTCAATTTAATGCAGCTTTCCCACATTAGTAAGTATAACATGGTAAATTAAGGTGTGGTATGTAACCATGGTCAGATATCGTAAGGTTAGTACTATGCTAACTACCCAGATGCTTACTCTGGATGGCATCTCGTTGAAATTACAGTAAATCTCTTCTCTATGGTCTACCTCATCAATCTCTCCATAAATTGCAGTTAGTTCAAAATACAACTGCTCGTATTACATCAAGAATTAGATCCACTGAACATATAGCACCTGTTCTTAAACAGCTCCATTGGCTTCCAGTTCACCTCTGTGTTAATTTCAAGATCCTGCTTCTTACTTTTAAAGTGCTTCATAACCTCAGTCCTCCATATTTATCTGATCTTCTCCATACGTACTCACCCCTCGTACACTCTGCTCTTCTTCAGCTTCCCTTCTGTCTGTTCCAGCTGCTCGCCTGACTATCGTGGGACTCAGAGCCTTTAGTTGTTCTGCCCCGAGACTTTAGAAAGCACTTCCACCAGAATTCCAGACCACAAACTCTCTCACCACTTTTGAATCACATCTCAAAAATCTATTCAGAACTGCATACCCTTGAATCCATCTTAGTCAGTTTTTACCTTGCTCAGTTTTATACTTGCTTTAAAACTTTCATGCTTGTTTTTTATTATTATTATTTTACTATATTTTAT